TAATGTAACCTCCAAGTTCCTTCTCCTAGATTTTGATCCAGAAGTTCTTATCAGAATACAAAACTTAGAGCTGTCTTTTATAACTTCTGGTGGAACAAACTGAAATGGAATCATGCCTTCATGCAAATGTTTTTTTTTTTTTAATTTTCCATCACTGTGAAAGCAAGCACGTAGAAGGAGGCATCCCATTGCTCTAAGTATGCTTTCTAAACGTTAGAGACTTAAAGCAATTTCAAATTTTTTCTGTGTCTAGAAAACGCTTTTCACTGATATTTAATTAAACTATCTTTGCTCTGAGACATACAATAAAACACGCTGGAAGCAAATGTAAATGCATCACTGCTTTTATGTAAGGAACAACAGGTCAGTTTGATAATTATGCCACTATCGTGCAAGCTTAGCATGTCCGATCAGTCAAATTTAACTGAAATTCGGGACAATATTCTATTTTACAACAGCTAGCGATTAATCCCACTTACATTCATACAATTACATTAGACAGTATTCCCACAGAAAGTCTGCAAACCTGATTCTTGACTGCATTGTTTCCATAAGGATCTTTCAAAAGACAACTGTCAGTTACAATGTAGATGTATCAGCAAAATCTTATCTGTATCCAAGAAGTCGTCATATAGAGAAAAAGTTTGGTCCTGCCATCTATCTATACATTAAAGCTAAAAAAGCACAGTAGATTCTATGGGGAAAAATATTCTTCTTTAACTGAAGAAAATAAATCTTGTTCTTGTTTTTGTACAAGAAAATTTAAGCTAAATATCGCCATTCCCTACTACAGTCTCTACATTCAAATAAAATTAGAAATTAAGATCAGTTTCTGGAAAACACTGCTGAAGTAATCAGTGCCCATGCACGTATCCGACCAGGAGAAATAACTTAATTCACTGGAATGTTATACCATACCATGGCCAGACAAGCACTTATTTTTATGCCAGTGTAAACATCCCAGAAATCACCTGTGAGGTCCTATCTTAAAAGAGGGTTTACATTTCTGTAGTTACACCAGGAGCAAGATGTTCACTAATGAAACTTTTATTTACTTATTTATTTTGTAAAAACCAAGAAAAAAGTCTCCTGGGCTGCAAAAGTAAATAGTAAAATAAAGCCATAGTGATGCTCAGAATCCTAAGTATAGCTTTTGATGAACTAAGAAAATTGCTGTAAAGAGCAAGACTAATGCTTTCATTTTTGCCACTGCACAATCTTTGCTCGTTACCTATTTTTCACCTCAGAGTGGCAATTGAGCAAGGCACACTCGCAGCGTATCAGCTGAAGCCGAGCTGTGATTCCTCAGACAGCTGTGTGATGGTGATACTCATTCAAATTCCCCTCGTTCTTTCCACAAGTAATTCAATAGTGCTCACCACCCTCTCGCAATAAAGATTATACTCTTATATTATCACTTGTTTTGCAAGTCATTTAAGTGAAACTATCATATTTCAATACAGCAAACACACAGTGTGGAATGTTAAAATTAAGTCATAATAACACAGCTAAATATTTACATTAAAAAAACAAAAAACAACAACAACAAAAAAAACCTACATTGTTTTCTGGAACATTTCCCAGGCTAAATGATGGCCTTTGCCAATACACCTGCAGCTCTTCGCAACTAATTAAGAAACCCAAGCTAACACACTCAAAAAGCTTCAAAAAGCAAATGCAAACTCCATTGCACAAGAAGAGAATTATTACCAACATTCAGCAATCAATGCATGTGTAATTGCAATACTTTTCTTTTTCTTCCTTTCTGAAAGATTCAAATGTTTATAATTTTAAAAAGAGTTTGGAACAAAGAAAGGTAATTAATTTAAAATTAAGGGGCAGGTACAAAATCAGTAATAGAAACTGACAGTTGCGAAATCTATACCTTGGGTTATTCTCAAACAGTTTTCCTCTGGAAACCAAAGAAATAAAACAAAAGGGTTCATTAAGAACTCTACGCTGCAGTCAGCACTACAAAAAGGAAGCTTTCTGAATCACAGCTGTCCAGCAATCACACAGATTTTCCGCTACTTAATCAGAGATAGCAATAAGGTCTAGAAATTTAACCTAGAAGAAGAAGAAACAAAAAATAATACCCATTAATTAAAGCATATAGCAAAATCTCCTAATGAGACCTTGGTTGAGATGCATAGAATTGAGACGCTGCATTTTAAAAAAATTTGCTACTGCAGTATTTACATTATGATTACAAATTTCTGCTATTCAAATTAAAGCAGGATGTCTTATACATCCCAGTACTTTAGGACTCCAGCCTACAAGTAATAGCCATATATTAAAACTCATGCATGAGAATAATACCAGCAAAGGCCATAATATTAGTGGCAAAGATCACAGCAGAATCTGTGGAGTGTACCATCATTGACTGCATAACTCATGGATCTGAAAGTATTTTAAGATTCAGTTTCTGTTGCCTGAAATGGAACAGCTCTATTTCAAGTACAGCACTCACGCCAAACATTTCAGGAAGGCCCAGCTTCACAAAATCATTTATGCAACCACTTATTAATTGCAGAATATTTCCTGAAAAGCAAGATGTTGCTCAATGTACTTTAAAACATATTTAGAGTATTTCTCTAACGTTAATACAATTAATGAAAAACTTGGCAACAATTAGCTTACTTACAGTCAGGACAATTTGTATAATATCCCACTGGTGTTACAAAGGAAAATACAAGCGCAGGCATTCAGTGAACAATTCCCTCACTGTTACCAGTTAAGCACTACATTTGCCCTTCCCTAAAGTAAGGTTACAAGATGTGACCAAAGCATCAGGAAACCCCAGCAACTAAACAGGACCTATCACTCTGGATATTCTACTGTGAACAACAGCCCATAGTCTTTCAACCTTGACAAGTCCTCTTTATCAATCTGTTATAAAATGTAAGAGAATTTCTGGTGTGCTCAGCCTAGCCAAAATCTGGTTTTAACACACCTGAATATACACCTGGAACAAGAGGCTTGCAACTTTTTCAAAGAATGGGGAGCATTACGGTAGGTCTGCAGTTTCAAATTGGAAACAAATAATCTAAATATTTTTCTAGTCCTCATTCACAACAAAGCATGGAGGCAGTTCCAACTAGTTTTAACAACTGAATCATGCTTGTAAACATAAGTAAACCTTTTCTACAGCACTGATCTTTTCCCCTTACAAATGGTTCTAGTTTATCGTGAATGTTAAAATATCACATTCTGCATAAACTTAGCACGTTGGAGCACAGTCTTATGGAACGTTACTTACTCACTTGCAATGACCTCTCTGAGAGACCTTTCATACCACTGTAACGCTAAAAATTACCACTGAATACAGATTATAGAGAATTATACAGATTACAATAAATTCTGCAGTAAGAGCAAATTTTACAACATATATGTAGCAAAATACACCATCTATATAAAGAGCACCAAGCATTATCCACTTTATTAAGAAACTGGTACATTTTCAGCTATCCTGGGGCATTTCAAAAAAGTAGTTTTGACACACGTGAAAGAAACAAAAGCATCTTATTTCAGCTTTTTAATTATATTTTGTACCTTAAAGTTGCTTATCATTTCATTTTCACGTTTTTTCTTGTTTATAAATTGTAAATTTTCTTGTTTACAATTGCATTTATAGCTAACAGAGACTATAATGCAGCAATGACTGCAGTGACCACTTTATAACAGCCGATGGCACCAACCACCTCCAGAAATTGTCCAGCTACCCGGTGTGCCTGTTAGAACATAATATAACTCATGGGAAAACAAATAAGTTTAAACTACAAATAAGGGGATTATTTTTAGAAAAATAAAAAATATCTTTGGGAAAATCGATCACTTTTCTTAAATACAACATCGAACATTAGAACCATATCCTGTTCAGAGCACAGGTGTAAGTCACCCCGTTTAACCACAGCAACAATTACATTGCACTCAAAGATATAACGCTGTAAACTCAGAGAACAAAAAGCTTACAGCTGTGCGTATTTGGTGTGACCTTCAGATGCAGCTGATTGCAGTCTGCCATATAGTTAAGAAGTTTCTAAATAGATAAACAAGCGTCTTTATCAAAATGATACCCTGTATTTACACTCTCCCACTGTAACGTTGTCTATTAACGGCACAAAATAGGAACATTTAGATGCAGAAGATATTCATCCTCCCTCTGGAGGATGCGTTTAATGAACAGCTTTGAAAAACCAACACCACAGCAACACCAGAGAGATGGATGTAATCCATGGGGGATCAAGTAGTGAGAACTTGGGGGATGTCAGTTATGTTCAGGTTAGGAAATGAGAAAGACTCAAAATATTTACTCTTCTGTACAGCAGTTGCTTCGTACTGACAATTGCAGCTATTCAAGAACCTGGTGCTCTACTGGTGTAAGCTACTCTAACTGGTGGGACATTTCTCCCTTTACGACCGCAAGGGATAAAACTTACTTCTGTTTTTAATGGTTGGTTTTTTGTTTTTCGGTTTTTTTTTTTTTTTTCTGAACGAAATCCACCACGTGACACCGGAACACTGCCGAAACCACTAAGGAGGGCTCACGCAAAGCTTCCAGGCTGCAAAAGCGCACAGAGGAACGAAATTCCCTCGCTTGAGGGAGCCCCTCCCGCGCCCTCCCTCGGGGCCGCCCGTGGCGGACGCCGCCCGCTCCATGCTGTCGGCTCTGTGGTGGCGGCGCGCGGCACTAAGGAGCCCCCTTGCAGCACACGGCAGCACCATCCCGTCCATAGCGAGAGCTGAACGGTGTATTAAAAAAAAAAACAAAACAAAACTGCCTCGCTATACCCCGGCTGGGCTCCGAGTTCTGCAACAAACCGCCCACCACGTGGTAAAGGCGGGGCGATGCCTGATAAAACGAGAAGAGCCGCCGCCTCTGCCTTCAGCAAAGATGGCGCCCGGGCGTGCAGGGGGTGCCGCCCACTTCCTGGAGAGGCGGTGGCGCCGCTGTCGCGGGCTGATGACGCATGTAGGGAGCGAAGGGAGACCGGGGATTCCCCGTGTTGTTGTCCTGCAGCCCGGCGGGATGGGAGGCCGGAGCGCGGCCCGGCGCGGCTGGCGCTGATGGCGGCTCCCTGGGCGGCCCGCGGCTCCGGGCCGGACCTGGACGAATTTACCGTCCCGGCCGAGAAACGCCGCTTCCTGGAGGGCAGCCGGGGCCGCATCCAGGGCCTGTTCGAGGTGCGGCTGGCCGTCCTGGAGGCGCAGGGGGACTGGCGGCCCGCCCTCCCGCCGCCGGGACAGCCGCCACCCGCCGCTAGGATCTGGGTGCAGCTGGCGGGCGGCGGGAAGGCCGTGCGGAGCGCCAAGGTACGGGGCGGGGGGAGGAGAGCGCGACTGAAGCCCCTCCGCCCGGCCGGGCGGGGGTGACTCAGGGAGCTGCGGGTGGGGGTGAGAACGTGCCGGGACCTCCCAGCATCCGTGTCGGAAGTGACTGGGCTGCGAGAGCGAAAGGCAGCGCTGCCGGCGACGCGGCGCAAAGTCCTCGAGTGCGACCTCCGGCACCTGACGGTGCGCAGAGCGATTAGAATGCGGCTCTCTCTAATTTTTTTTTCCTTCTCCGGTTCCAGAAGCCGCAGGGTTCGGTTGGGTGTTGCCAGGTTTTGCGGTTTACGCACTTCGCTGATTCCGTGGCTTGTTGGCAGGGCTCTGAGTGACGGCTCGGCCGAGCTCTTCACTTCCTGCAGGAAGAAAGTTGGCAGCTCCGAGCTTCTTCACCTGTTGGTTTGCTGGAGCTTTCTTTTTTTCTTTCAACAAGAAGAAAGCTCTCGGTGCTGCTTGTGCCATTGGTGATGGCGCTGGCTGCTGTGAGGTGCTTGTGTAGAATCGGTTACAACCCCTGTTCATCTGGCACACGGGGTGTCAGCAGGAGCTATGTGCTGCTGGTGCTCGTTTTGTGTGCTGAGTGCAGCAGTGTGAGTGCCAGTAGGCTGCGGGAAGCTCTAAAGCCCAAAGTCCTGATATCTGGGCTTTTTGTGTCTTTGACACACACGTGCACAGTGGATTTTATGACTTAATTCAGCGTCTAAACATTCTGCTTTGAAGGTCTTGATTCCTTTCCCTGTGTTATGCATTAGTTCTAGGGAAAACATTGTGAAAGTTAAGGTTGCTGAATTGACTCTGGATCTCAATCAGTTTGATTCTACTGTTGGGCTCAGAGATTCTAGAAGCTGTTACAGGTGACATGAAGGATATTTCTCCTCTCTGGGCAGCTGCAGTACAACTTCCTTTTTGTTTTTTTCTTCCAGAAAAAAGGCTGGAAAACAATTTTCAATTTTGTGATTGCTTTTTTCCTTACAGCATGCTTCTTACTCCACATACTTGAAAGGGTGTAGGAGATTCTTCCTTTACATTTAAAGCCTTCTTTAGACCTTATCTGGATGGCTTGTTGACTAGAAAGTATTCATTATCACACACCTTTCTGTTCTTTTAAAATATTCTATTACAGCAATTTGTGTTTTAATTCATCAATGTTTGCAATATTCATTCTTCAGTGCTGTTTCATTCTCAGATCTTGATGTAAGTTTTTTAACCCTATTGTTTTTAGCAACAGCAGTCATGTGATGACTAAGGCACAAACATTTTTCTGTTGACTTTGCTGCCGAAGCAATTTGTACTGGAAGCTCTTGAAGCACCCTGCCTTGATGCTTACACCAGTATGACTCAGAGATGATAAAAAGTGTCCTTGCATTCTTCATTGTATTGTAATGGCTTTCAGTTTCATTTAAAAGAGAATTTCAATTTCTAAGACTAAGGAAAGACATTAAAATTTGATGTACTCCAGAATCTGGAAGTATCATGACTGCAGCTTAGAAAGTGGTTTTGCTACATTGTAGAGTTTGAAGTACAGTGGACTTAAGAAAAATAATGCTGACTGACAGAAAAATAGGTTGTGCTTTGGCAGCTTCTGAACTCTGGCATGTTTAGAATACAGTATTACAGCGAATTTATTTACATAATTTCTGGATGGTGAAAATCACAATCCTTTTTTAATCTATAAAAAAAAAAACTGACAAAAACAATAAATCCTGGATTTCTAGCAATTCTGTCCATGTTTAACACAGAACTGGAGATTTGAGGAATTTTCTCAGTATTTTGTCAATATTATCTACTTTTTCAGAAAGCCTTGTAATGAGCCCTCATCAAAATATCGAACCCTCGTCAAAAGCTGCCTTGCTGTTAAGAATTTGGATGTGGTTTTTCTTTTTGGTAGTAGATAGGTTTTTTCATTTCTAGCTGAAAAATGTGAATGTTGTTTTAGATTAATGAAATCTGTTGCAGTCCAGGCATTGTTTTTGCTTTTGTCTTGTTTTTTTCCTGATTTTTCTTAGGTTAGCTATTAATGGATGCTACTAGTTATGTTGCCTCAGTAATATGTTACTGAGTTATGCCTCAGTAATAAATATAGGACAAAGAACATACAATAGATACAAGTATAAACACTTCTGCTGTTACTCTTTGGGAGTTCTTCAGAAACGGTCTTTGCAAGTCCTCTGTTATGAATTCACTCTAGTGCAAGGTGCTTCTGATGAAGTGTGTGTTCTCTGACCAAAGAATGGGTGTAACAAGATAAATCTTTGTCTTGTTAAAAGTGAATGCTAAAACTAAAGACTGTGTGGAGAAGATCAAGCCTAGTAAAATAAAGAAGCAATAATTGAAAACTCTTTTAATTTTAGCAGTATTTTTAATTGAGTAGCTAGATACCATTCTGATACCCAAAGGAATGAGTTACTCTGTAAATACTGAAAGTAAAGGTTGAGTTTGGTCCAAATATCATAGTTTTAACTACTCAGCCTTTCTTAAATTAAAGATAATAATGGCAATGCCTTTACTTGTTTGAGGCTGAGTGCTTCCAGATATTAAGAGTTCTGAGAATCAAGAACATTAATTTTTTTTTCTGTGATAAGTAAATACATGATGTATTTAAGCTGTGGTTCCAAATACTCAGTTACTATCAGTTTCAAGTGAATTTAGTTATAAAGAATAGGATATCATTAAAAGGTTAGCTTTCTATGAAATCTATTTAAAAATCACTTCAGATATGTGTTTTGTATTTGTTACATAGTTTACTTTCTCAAACTTATTGTGCAAACCTGGCTTATTTTTATTTTGCTTGGACAGGCTGGAGAGTTGGGCAGAGAGGGAACCAGGTGAGGTTTAAGAAGAGCAAGTGTAGAAACTTGCGCCTAGGGGAGAATAGCCACCTGTTAACCACCAGTACAGACTGGGGGATGACCCACTGGAGAGGAGCTCTGCAGTGAAGGACGTGGGGGTCCTGATGGACAACAGATTGGCCATGAGCCAGCAGTGTGCCCTAGTGGCCAAGAAGGCCAATGGTGTTCTGGGGAGCATTAAAAGGGAGGTGATCATCCCCCCCCTTTGTTCTGCCTTGGTGAGGCCTCACCTGGAGTACTGTGTCCTCCAGTTCTGGGCTGCCAGGTACAAAAAAGATGGGTCTCCTGGAAGGAGCCCAGCAGAGGACAACAGAGATGATAAAGGGCCTGGACCACCCCTCATGAGGCAAGGGTGAGCAACTTGGGTCTGTTCAGCCTTGAGAAAAGAAGACTGAGGTCAGTGTCTAAATATCAAGGTGTGGGAGGCAAAGGGCTGAGGCCAGACCATTTTCAGCAGTGTGTGACAATAAGACAAAGAGAAACTGACACAAACTGAAGCATAGGAAGTTCCATACAAATGTGTGTAAGAACTTCATGGTAAGGGTGATGGAGCACTGGAATAGGCTGCACAGAGAGCTTGTAGAGTCTACACATGAGATGTCCAAGACCTGCCTGGATGCCTACCTTTGCAACCTTCTGTAGGGAGCCTGCTTTGGCAGGGGGTTGGACTAGATGATCTCTAGAGGTACCTTCCAGCCCCTGCAGTTCTGTAACTCTAATGTATTGGTCCATTACTGACTAATTTTAAATGTCAGCTTTTCACAAGATTCACTCCTCTGTCTTTTTCTCCTTCTAGGAGTATATTAAGGGTCTGTGTGAACCTGAACTAGAAGAAAAAGAATACTACCCAAAGGACATGCACTGTATTTTTGTTGGTGCACAGAACATGTTTCTCAACAGTCTTATTCAGGATACCTGTGCTGACATAACCGTGCTGGAAATAGGATTGCTTAGTATTAAAGGGGGTGCAGAAGCAGTTGTTATGGCTCAAAGTCAAGTTCAGCAGTTTGTGAAGCTTTTTGAGAATAATGAAAGCTTGTCAAGCGAATATGAATCAGATATTAAAAAGCAATTTAGGCAATTTGTGGAGGCACATGCAGATAAATATACAATGGATTTACTGATTTTGCCTAGCTCGCTAAAAAGAGAGCTCCTAACTCTTACGCAAACTGAATGTTGTGAGTCAGGGGGTGCTATTATAGATCTTACGCGGTCTGGAAGCCCAGCAGAGCTCTTACAGGACAAAACCTCCGAAGTAATTGTTACAAGCAGAGATGGAAAAACAGGAGATGAGGAAGAGAGAAACAATGCTGGGACTCCTGTAACTGAGCTTACAAAGCAAATGGACAATGTGTTTTCTGATGCTCCCGAAACAAGTTTTGTTCCCATAAATGTTGTGCCTCCATTAGAGGCAATGGCATCTAAAGAAAGGCAATCTTGTAAAAGAAGATTTTCTGATGCTGAGGAAAGTCTCCCTAAAAAGCAGTTCTCTTTGGAAAATGACCAGGAAGTGAATTCTGTCTTACACAGTGATCCTTCCAAGAGGGATGATGTTATCGATCTGATTTCAGGTAGCTGTGGTGAATTAGATGATCCCAGTTACTGTATAAAAGAAGGTGATGATATCAGTGAGGAAATAGAATATAAGATTCTTGTAAACTTTTTTAGAACAATGGGATATTCACAAAGTATTGTGGAAAAAGTTATTGGTGTTCTAGGACAGTCTGTGGAACCCTTAACATTGCTAGAAGAAATTGAAAAAGAAAACTTGAAACTTCAAAAAGAAAAAGAATGGTCATCTAAAACGCCTAGAACTACAAATCTTTGTTCAGGAAGTAATGCAAATAGTTCACATATCCTAGAAGATGAGGACATTTCTTGCAAGAAAAATCCCCTTAAAACCAGTCATACTTCAAATGAGATGAGAACAGAACGTCACAAAATCAGAGATATCTCAAGTACTCAAATTGATGCGGAAGATAAAATGCATGTATCTGTACGCAAACCTGTCTCTCCTGGTAAAAGTTCAGCTATATGCTATAAACAAAGAGATAACTATTGTCCTGCTAAGAATCATAACTCAACATCAAGTGATACAGAAACTGATGGTTCTGTACCTCTCAGTCCTACGCAGGCTGGAGCTCCCAAAGATGTTGATTTTGTAGCCAGAGGGAGCTCAGATGTGTGGCGTACCTCAGCTAAGAGTAAAAATGCAGTTCAGCAAAAATCTGCACGGTCCTCACCTGTGCAGAATAGTCATCCTGTTGTAGAGGACCAGTTAGGACACTGCAGCTCTTATCAAGTGAGATCTCCCAACCAACACACTTCTCAAAATTCAAACTTTGAAAATCCTACCCAAGCCCATATATTGTCTTCAGAGATAAATTCTACAAATCCTGACAGAGAGACGGACAGAGCATACAGACGTCATATTGATCCTTCAATTACTGGTGTCCAAAGATTTCTGGAATCTCTCAAAAAGCCATACAGACTGGAGTTGAAAAATGAACCTGGGAAACCATATTTAAAACATATCATTATTGATGGAAGCAACGTTGCAATTTCGTAAGTATTGTTCTTACTAAGTATCTCCTTGTTAAACGTTCAATAAACTTCCAAGTGAAGTTGGGACGATGAGGTTGCTGCAGTGTGTACAAAATTTTTGGTAGCTAGCTTTCTGGTGATCAGTATGTGTTGAGCTGTGCTTTTCAGATGCTAATAGTGGCTACACTGATAAGGTAGGGTAAGGTTTAATAATGAAAGATTGTGTGCAATTGACAGCCAGTTTAATTTCAAATACATAGCAGTTTTGATAGTTTTCATTCTCAATTTCACAACAGCATTCATATTTATGACAGCCTTAAGTTACTATTCACAAGATTGTAGCTGATTCTATGTATGACGTTTATACCAGTTTACAACTCTAACTATAATAATGCAGTTCAGACTTACTATATCATAAAAACAATTAATGTAGAATTTATTTTTAAAGAAAAAAATGAGTAAATGGTTTAAAGTTGACTATATGTAGAATAAGGAAGGTCTTTGGCTTTGATTTTAATTGCTAGGTGATTGTGTTATTCTTGGAAATATTTGCTCTAAAGCCCTTTAAGATTAAACTTTCTTGCTTTGGTAGAACTTTCACTAATTTTTAAAACAGCTCAGATTTATGAAGTCCAAATATTAATATCAGGAAAAAAAAATTAACAGGATAGTTGATGGAATCTAAAACCAAGTATACCTTAGTTGGTAGATGAGATCCTTCTTGATAACGAGACTTTACAGAATGAAAATTGATTCTGCAGTATTTCTTACTCGGCAGCTGTCAAGCTTTGATGACTGATGTGTGCCATTTTAAAGCAGGGAATTATCATTGTTCTGTCTCAATATTTAAAGCCTCACAGTCAGAGGTAATTTCAGTGAGAGCTCTGTTGCAAAGTTAACAGAAGTTGACTTGCTTTTGCAGGCAACTAAGAGAAAAGTCTCTAGGTACATAGTTCATCCAGGAGAACTTCTGGTGGTCAAACTCTGCATCGTTCATAGTAGGCAATTGTTGATTTTAAGGAGAGTCACTTAACTGAGCTGTAAAAAAACAACTAATGAGCATCTTAATTTCTAAAGGATTGCCACTAGACTACAGTGTTTTGAAGGCATGTTTTTGAAGACATTTCATTATTTTGTTTGAATATGGTAACTTAGGTTGTTGAAAAGGAAAAGGAGGCCCTAACATCTCGTGTTATCATTGTATTTATCAGTTAATCTTGGGCAACTAGTTAAACTGTTTTATACTGGGATTGTATTTGGATACATAGCATGCTGATTGTTTTATGTATGATCAATAGTTTTCTGAAACAATTTTTGTTAGCCTCCTTTTAAAGGTAAATGTACTTCTAATTACCCAGGTATTGTACTAATGAAAGCTGAAGAAGACTGAGCTACATTAAATTGCAGACGATAATTCTGTTCTTTTCCTGTGCTGAAGACATTTTTTTTTTTTCATTCATAATATTTTTCATTTGTGATATCCATCTAGCTTTTATTTTGCTGAGGCTGCAGGTATATTTTCCTACTTCTGTTTTGTTTGTATTAATAGTAGTAAAGCTCTATTGAATTTAATCTTATCTTTTTCTTCCCATTCCTCCTCCCCTCAAGTCATGGTTTAAGGAAGTTCTTCTCCTGTCGAGGAATTGCAATAGCTGTTGACTACTTTTGGAAACGTGGCCACAGAAATATTACTGTGTTTGTTCCACAGTGGAGAACAAGACGTGATCCTTCCATTACAGGTGTGGCAAATAGTTTCCTAATGTTTTCTTAATTTAAATTGTAAATAATTATTTGGGTACTCCTATGAAAATGGAGAACAAATATTTCATAACACAAAGGAAGGAACACTTGTGCTAAGCACAGATAATTTGTTTTCAGCATACGTTGTGAGATACTCCGAGAGTCTGTATAGACTTGCTGATAAGCTGTAGATGGAGACCTTTTCTTTTCTTTGCATTTTTGTTTCTTCGCTCTTTAATTTCTGGTTTCAGTCTTTTCCCCCTCTGCTTATATGTTAATAACTCTTCAGCTATCAGTATGCTACTTCTATAAATTAATAGGTACAAAAATAACCCACCTTCTCTGCTATTTATATATCTCTCTGTGTGTTTATATATATTTTAATTGTCAAATCCATACGTAGCTTGGAGGAAAGCTTTTGTTTTTACTGAATCGTTTCATCTTTTAACAGAGCAGGATTTTTTAACACAGCTGGAAGATGTTGGAATATTGTCTTTAACCCCTTCAAGGATGGTATTGGGAGCAAGGATTGCTTCTCATGATGACAGGTATGGAATATGCGTAGTTGTTAAAAACATTTTACACCTGGCTGTCCTTAGTCCTTTGCTATCAGTACTATTATGTAGTTGTTCAGTGTGTCTTGACAGGGTGCAATGTGTTCAGCTTTAGACTGACTCACATATTATATTGTAACAGTAACATGAAATCTCTGTTCTTGTACATACTGCTTGCTGTGTTGAATTAATTTTGGATAATTTTCTTGGCAACTTTAACCAAAATTTAAGAAGTTAATCTGTTTCAAATGTCATTACTTGCCTTGAGGGGGAAAACCCTCAATGTTTTACTAAGGTTTTTTTATGCTTTATTGATTGTTAATTTATCCCTAAATGATCTTTTAAGTCTGAGGAGCACTAGCGTGAACTAGCTACTTATCCATTTTGTTCCTTTTATTTTTTTTCCTCTTAATGTCATTGTGGCATATAGACACAGTTGTGTACTTGTGCTGGTATATTTGTAACACTGCTTGGGCTGCTAAATTTATAAATTAATTTGAGAACCAAAATTATGCTTCAGAATGGGGGGATCACTTTGCAATGGACAACACAGTACTAAGCTTTTGGTGGGTGGAGTGGAGTGTGCTAGTGCTTTTGTTGGTTTTACCAAATCTTCCTAGTCTTGGTACGCAGTCAGAAGAACATGGTAGTAAAGGTTGTTTTTTTTTTTTTTTTTATATCCTGCTTACTGAATTATGCTTGGATGAGCCATTTCTAGCTGTCAGCTAGTGCAGTTTAATTCTAATAATAATTTGTACTTTTTCTGACTGTGGGATGGTTAAGTTCTTTGCATTGTGGGCATGTCTGTTTTGTTGCATCGTACAGTCGTGTATCTGGCTGCAAAATTTGATATGCAGAATAAAAATGAAGTGCTCTGTAGCTTCATGTCCTTGTTAAAATGTCACAACTCCAGTCTCTTTAGTAATAATGTAGAAAAAATGTGTAATATCACTTTGTATTATGTAGGAGAAGTCAAGTTGGAGTAGTTTACACACTAATATTTTACATACAGGCAGTTATGTAGGTGCAGTAATTTTAAGATTACTGTGGAAGTGTTGCATTAATATATTTGCACTTTCTTTGAAATGTGTCATTTTCTATCTTAAAAAAAAAAAAAAGTACCAACCATTGTGTCATTGAAGTCATATCTGTGCAGTATTTCAGCTAGCAAAAAGCTTATTTCCAAATAGGTAAATATCATGGAATTTTCTAAATTAGTGTCATAACTTATTTAACAATGAAATGGTAGCCACAGTTTTTGTTAGCAAGTATTGAGAAAGCAAACAGCTAGGTGATGTGCATAATACTGTACTGAACACAGACATAGTATATCTGAATAAGTTGGTTTAATCCATAATAAATACTGTACTTTTTAAAAAACAAGCCACTTACCTCTACAAATATTTTGGAATCTATTAATTCTGTTTGGAGGTTTTTACGCTTTCATGTTGGTATTTTTATCTTCCAGTGGGGAAGAAAAGTCCCATAAAAATTATGTGCAGTAAATAAATGAATGCTGCCTGTAACTGTATTTGTTTTAAAGTTAATAATGGGTCAAAAATCAAGGAATTTTCCAGTGTTTAAATTTCTTCCTGTAAGTAAATTATTTTTTGATGGTAAGAATATTTAGTTTTCTAGGTCTTTGAACAATTTTCAGCAAAGAAGACTACTATAACTGTCTTTGAAATGAATGTTACAGATTTTTATTACATCTTGCTGATAAAACTGGAGGTGTTATTGTGACTAACGATAACTTCAGAGAATTTGTGACAGAATCATTTGCCTGGAGAGAAATTATTCAGAAAAGGTAATTACTTAGATTTCTGTAAAACTGTGTAGGATGTCTATCCTTAAAGTTGCAGGCACTCTGATTAAAAAAGAGTTTTAAATTATAATTCCATGTGAAGGTAACTTATGATGCAATTCTCTTGGAGCACAAGTTACTGTTAGTTCCACCCCTTTGATTTGTGACCTTCTAATGGTGTATTGAGTATCCTGATATCCCTGTTATTCACGGATCTTCTAATGCTGTCAATTGCTCTAAGTAGAAGCCCTCTATGGCAGCCAAGCTGCTTGCTTCTGAAGTTTCAGTGTTACGTTCTGTTAAGAGTACACTCTTAGCAAGCTGTTCTCACAGTCTTTTTTGTCAGTTCATTTCTTGAAGGAAATACAGTGGCTGATGCAGACACAGTGTCACTGTTAATGTTTCAGAATCACTCACTCTGCACTGCAGTACAACAAAAAATAGACATAGCTAAGCAAAATAATGAATGTTATCCCTGCAGCCGTTTCCCTACAACTGTTGAGCATCCTGTGGAGTTAGATGAGTTCACTTAGCTGTCAAGTATCCCTGTTTCAATTTGTGGATTCTCTATGGGTCATAGTTTCTCTTGAGCAATCAGTTTCTTTTTCTGAGCCCCTCTCATTTTTTTTCTTCCAGTTAAATCAGGTCGTCTTAATAGGAAAGTGCATTCTTCAGTTTTGACTGAAGTTCCTATTAATCCCTCAGTCTTTGCAACATCCTCTGAGCAAATGCTTGCTGCAGTGATTGGGTTCTGTATACATACACTGAAATAACTGAAAACTGACTTGGGTTGTTGTCTAGTCACATGGATATTTTCACTCTTTAAGTGAGTTACGAAAATCAGGTTCTGTTCTCATACAGTACTTCAGTAAGAATAATTAACGTCATTCATAGTCTGTTTTTGTTTTTTCTTTTAAGATCATGTGTTAACATCTGCTGTTAGTTTTACTTCTGGGGAAATTCCACTATACCAAATCTCTTCACAGACAAATTTTCGTTGATTGAGTTTCCTTGAATGCAGATTTTCCACCGGCCCAAAATAATTCCAGAAAAATAAAAGCGTTTGTGTTTCAACCATAAGCATCTAAAAATATTTGCTAGTTGTGTGGCTTTCTGATAACATAAGCACTAATCCCTTTTTGTTTCGAGATCCTTACAAAGTAGGGGAGTTTGAACAACCAGAAAATCTTCTGAAATCATCTGGAAAATTCCGCACTGGTCTCTGTTATTTAAAAAAAAAAAAAAAAATGCAGTCACCTGACATGCTGATTGTAAAAGGAAAGAAAAAAATCAACCACCTCAGTGGTTTGCAGTGCAAATAAGAACAATGTACATATGCTCCCTTAAAGTTACTTTGACAGTGATTGCTGGCTGCAATTAAAATGGGTATTCACTAGCTGAGCTCTCTGATGTTGTATGGAGTGTTTGTTCCAGACATATACACTTTTTTTTTTTTATGGAGATAAAGGGTGGGAAGGGGAGAATACATTGCTAGTAAAGAATAATGGAAGAACTCTCTTGCAGGTTGCTCCAGTACACTTTTGCTGGGGACATTTTTATGGTTCCCGATGATCCCTTGGGAAGAAATGGACCTAGATTAGATGACTTTCTTCAAAGTGAAAGCTGTTCTAGGTATAATTTCTGTTTTCGCTTCTCTTTGAGACAGTTATGATTTCAGATGGTAAATGAACTGTTTGTGGCTCACTTGAACACTTCTGTAGAGCAATATAGTAAGGGTACAGTAAAATCAGACAAGAATGCTAGCACGTAGTAGCTTAAAAACATGGGTATTTTTTTCCTGTTACTGCAGACTGTTCAGAAAGTGCTGGTGACATTTGCATCAACATCTCTCACAACTGAAATAAGATAAATGCTTCAAGTAACTTCCTCTGGGGTTTCACTGTGGTGGTTTTCGTACAAAGGTGGTGCAAACTGGATGTCATTATTGCACAAACCTACTGGTAGTTGAGATATGTGGTAGTCTGGTGTCCTTCCAATTACAGTAGTGGTATCTAAAATACACTTGCTCATTATTAACACTTGAGCAATAGTTACCACAAAAGAAACACTGAATTTGTATCTTTTGTCATGGGGGAGGCATTTCATTTCACACATGGTTATGGTACTGTTAATAAAACCATTTTGGAGGGGTGTTGCTATTTAAAGGCATTTGTACTTGACTTACAATGTTAAATATTAACAAGCTTATGTTGTTATGATTGTACTCTTTAAATATGTGTGTATTTCAGAAGGATGAATTTGCTCTGCATTATGTGCCAATATTTGAAAATGGATTTGTTCTTTTAAAAACAAGAATTAGGCTTCCTTTTCCCTTTTTTCACCAGCCTAACAATTATAAATGGATTAATGTGTAACTTAAAATAGAGCTCTGTAATTTTAATACAGTTTCCCTTGGTAGCAGGAGAACAAACTGTAATGTGAGTTCTAGTTCATATTTGTGTTATGTGCTGTCATGTGAAGTGAAATTGGCTCTGAATTGATAGTAATTTTGAGTAGCATCGACTTCTTAAATAGTCTGAAATGAAATATCAATAATTAAGATAGAATACTCAGATCCTAAAATTGCTGCAAAACTTAATTGCCCTATTAAAGATAGAAGGCGATGGCTTTTTCATTTTACAATTTTTTTCATTTTGAATCAGTATGTGTTCAACACAACTTTTTAATCCACTTAGATCAGTGACATTTGTGTGTCAGTAAATGAGCTGTGACTGTTGCTATACTCTGCCAGGTAGAGGTCATAGTGCTCACGGTGTATTGGAACAAGTCCTAGGTAATGTTGTTTAATACTGTTAGTCATGCCAGATTCAAGCTGAAAAATGTTATACCAACAGTTTCGCTTCAGTTTGGCATCAGGTGATTCATATTTTTTCAGTCAGTAACTGAGCAATCAGTGAAGTACAGGAGTTTCAGGCTTTTTTCTTGTCTGTGACTGTACAGAGGCAGTGTTCGCTCTATCTCACTGTAATCCATTTTCATTTTATTCCATAGAACTTTTCTGTCAGCACAAAAAGCTTTACAGAGCAGAGAGCAATATTCTTCTGAGACACCTTTCTTTGTGCACGTTCCCAATCCAACCAGCAGCAGTCAACAGCCTAAAAATCGAGCACAAGGTGATCGTTCAGCAGCATGGCTTCCATTGGATACAAATATGAAGGCTTGTCTGTCAATTCCACCACAAAGATCTGCCTCAGAAACAGTACGATTAAGAGAAGCCTTGATAAAAATATTTCCTGATTATGAGCAAAGACAGAAGATTGATAAAATATTAGCTGATCATCCATTCATGAGAGATCTTAATGCACTATCTGCCATGGTGCTTGACTGAAGATTACACAGGGTTTTTCTATCACAACTGATCAGACTAAATGTCAGTATGAGTAAGAATGTTGCTCTGTCATGTTACTTTGTGAATATTCAGAACCTAATTTTATTTGTATAAACAAACATTTTTATGTATGTTCTATTGCTAATAGATGCCAGTTTTTGGTAAATTAAAAACTGCTGCTACTACAGATCTGTGTTAATATTTTCTATGAAAAATCTTCCACTTCATTTTAATTGCTTATTAAAGCAGTAATGGTTTTGAAGAACTGATGTCACTTTAAATAACATGTTAGCACGTTCTAGAAAACAAAAGCACTTATGTGCTTCTCATACCTTCTTCACTGAAAACCAGATATTTCTTGGTGAAAATACAAACAGGCATTTCACTATTTTCAGATACAGAGACTGTTGTATAACGTTTACGTGCTTTCCTTAGGTCTTCATCATATATTTTGGAAGTAATTGTATACTCCTAAGGGCCTGTGAACAACTGATGACCACTGTGTGGAAGCTGTGTTGGAGTCTGGTGTACTATTGCAATACTATCACAAGATGGCATTATGCATCTGTTGGTTTCTAGTGATCAAGAGCCAAGATTTCTGACCTGTATTCAGATGTGCTAGTTCTTATATAAACAGTAAATGCAGAACAGACAACAGTAAGTGGTGTTATGGATAATACTGAATATTGTATGAGTAACTTCTGGATACTAAACAGACTTGCAGGTGATATTACAGATGACCAGTAAGTTCTGTGTACATGGCCAAGATGGAGGCCACAGAGTGCACCAACAAAAAAAGCCTTTTGCTTGTTCATCCAGACTGCAGGATATATTGTAAGAGCAGTTAAAAGTAAGATTCCAACAAGAATGCGTAAAATCACAACTCTCATCAACAGAAGACGCTTTTAGTGCTTTAAAAGTTCTGTGATGTCTGTGTTGCTTTTAAAATACTAATTATATTGACCATCAGTATGCCTTTGGAGTAATTTAAGTACCTGTGCTGTTTTGTTTGTCTTTGCCCTGCTTGTTTTAACCAAGAGTCCTGCAAAAGGCTATTAACAAAACATGATGCTGTTTATACAGGAATTACATGCTGTGTCTTGTGCAAAGCTAGTACACTGCATTTAAGTCTGTTCTACTACTTGATCTGTTCTGGGTTCTGGCCCAAAAGTAAGGTAGCAGGAAAATTGAATGTAGTTTTCAGAAACTGGCATGTAGGACCACGCTTGAGCAGGAGCAAAGTGAAGATTACAGTGTGTCTGTGTACACGCTTAAGTCTTTGTGCTTTCCTTTAAATGGTTTTTCTTTTGTGCTTTTTTTTGTGACTGAAAGCATGAGGTACGGAGCCCATGCTGAACTTCTGGCATGCTGAGCCTTACCTTGAAAAGTAAGAACATTGGTTTTCTCTCCAGTAGGATTTCCCTGGATTTTGAAATCACTGCTTTAGAAGCCAGATGTACTGGATGAACTAAAGAAATAAGTGTTGAAATTTTCTCACAGTTGTCTCAGATGGCCTCTTCATATGCATTGTGAGGTCAGAAATAGAAGGCAGAGTCCTGCTGCTCTCTCAATAGGAAATGCAGCAAGAGCAAAACTAAAATATATTAGGAGCGGTTATCGACATACTCAAGGAACAGTGAGAAGGAAGAAATTGCTTGAATGTGGTTCTGCATCCAAATAGACTGTTGTTTTTTTTTTCCCCTTCACACCCGAGTGGACAATTTCATAGATCTGGCCAGGTGAGTAAAGTTATTCTTACCAGCACATCTGCAAAAAAGTAATGCTCAACTAATAAATCCTGTATGATAAGCAAGGTCTGTCCTCACAGAATCTTAGATAGGTCTCTGAAGCCAGTCAGTGCTGATCTGAGAGGGTGTTTTAATGAGCTGTAGGGGAGTAAGTTGCAATCAGTTAAGGATTTCCACGTAAGAGGGGTAGAATCCTGAGGAGGAAAAGGATGCTGAATTTGGTAATTCTGCTTAGTATTGCATCAGAGTGAGATGGAGAAACTTTTGATCAGCTTCTAAGCAGCTCTTCCAGAAGTGTTGTGGTTTAACCTGTGTGGTAGTTAAGTACCACACAGTTGTTTGCATGCTCTCCCCCTTCCAAGTGAGATGGGAGGAGAATTATTTTAAAAAAAAAAAAAAAAAAAAAAAAAAAAAGTAGAACTCAGGGGTTGAGATAAAAACTAAAAAGGAAGAGGAGAAAATGATATTTGTTACAATAATTATATTTATAACAGGTGATGCACAAGTGATTACCACTCACCAAGTTAGCAGATGGTCCCTGAGCAGCAGCAGGTCACTCAGTTCAACTCCCCCAGTTTTCCAAACTTTCATTCTGCAAGATGTCAGCATGAGAGGCAGAGAAAACTGAAACATCCTTGACTGTACAGCTGCTCAGCAACAATTAGAGACATCAGTGCTATCAACACTGTTTTTTTCCTAAAACCAAAACAACCAAAACAGTATTATACCAGGCACTGTGAAGAAAAGCAACTCTGTCCCTACTGAAGCTAAATAAGGAAAATTAGGAAAATGAGCTAAGACCAGTACAGACTATTCTATATCTTCTTTGCTTAGTAGTATACTCAAAACTGAAATTAATCATGTAAAGTGGAAGTGCAAGTAAAAAAAAAAATACATTTTTATTTTCAACTCTCACAAGGAATGAAGAAGATGAAGATAAGAGTATGACTGCACAGACAGCTGAAGATAAGCACCGCGTTGACTACATCCAGCGAGGGAGAGACAGGGAAGAGTAAACTCTTCACTAGCTATCGATGGATTGAAGGGCTGCATTAATACCAGTAAATGCTAATGCACTGCTCTTTTCTGAGCTAAACATCCAATTTGAAAAGAATTTAAGAGGAATGTAGTGTCAAGTCTCAGCAGAGTAGTAGTTGATTACTTTTGCATGATGTAAGAAGCATTGCTGGGAATAGTAGCTCTAAAACCTGTCATCTAACTGCTTTTTCCCAGGAGTACAGACTAGACAACTGGTTTCTGTGGCATTTATGGATATTAAAGCAAGCTGTCTAATCTGACATTCTTGTGAAATGAATCCCAGTGAGGCCACAGGTTGTTTTCTATTTTTTTATTTTTTTTTTTTTAGGTTCTGTTCTGCCTCCAGGTTTGAGTTTTAGGCACCAGCTCCAACCATTGTCACTATGGTCTCAATATTCCTTGAAGAAAGTGGATGGAGCTTTTGCAATATTATGTCTATGGTAAAAGAACACGTGATTGCATCTCATCTATGCTTTGAACAAAATCATCACTGTTTTTCTGTTTTGTTTTCACTTGTTCCTGATTCCCTACGAGCTTGCTTGCTCTATGAACAGCCACAAAATCCTCTCTCAGTGCGCAACAGAACTGGACTGCATCAAGAAGAGCTGAGAAAGCCTTGTTGGAACCACCATCACTGAAAGCTCATCAAAACAATTTTTTTTTGTTAGGATTTTTTAATGGGGAAAAAAAAAAAATCTGCTTTTCTATGCATGAAAGTTTGTCTGTGATGCTCCTTTATTTAGCGTATAAAATTCTTAGAATGAAACGAGCAAAGCAAAAGGTAAAGTCCAAACGAAAAATTATCCCTTTCTAAGTCTGAATATAAATAGAAACGTTTGTGATGCTTAGAATTAATTGATTTTCTGAGATGGTACAGCTTTCAATTTAAGATATTTCCATTGAAATTGGAAGGTAAAAGGAGTATTTCTTTGATCCTGCTCAGAAATGTCCTGTTTTCCAGGCTAAGATATTCAGAATTGTAGGTAGGTATAACTACTTCTGCCTGAATAGAATAGCCCCGAGTTTACCAGCAATCATTTAATAATAATGAAATACCCAGCAATAAGTAATAAAAACTATGTTATATGATTGTAATTACCCAGCTCCGTACTAAAGAATAAAATATCACAACTACTTGAGTACATTCAAGTAGTTGTCTGTGTCATAACATGTAACTGTTATTTAGTTGGGCTCTAAGCCTTGTGTAGCAAAGAATGCAGTTTAGATACCCATGGCATTCTGAGCGTGCCAAGTTTAGTACCAGCAGACTCTGTGATCTTGGAGCTGGCTACTCTTTCTGCCACGCTACAGTTCCCACATAGCTCACACTTGTTACTGGTTTCTGTGCTGGTAAAAGAAGTGTATAGTGAGTGATGTAGTTTTGCAAGCAAGTCTTGCACCAATAGTGAATCCGAATTTGTCATTCCTGCTGACCTTAGCTAATATTAACTGTCTTTGGTACAGTGTTTTCTGGTATCCCAAACGCTAAATAGGAGATACCAGAAAACATTTTACCAAAGACAGTATTTTTTTTTTTTTTTCTTCCTACTGGCCCAAATTCCTTTTGTGTTCCAAGAGCCTCTCCCATCATCTTGGAAAAGAGTTGACTGTACCTAGAAGAAAAATCCTATGAGTTTGAAAATGTGAACTAGATTATGGTATTTTTTGCTAAATTCTAGCATATCTCCTAATGCTGAATTGTATGATGACAGAAAAATCTGAATTTAAAAAAAAATATTGTGATAGGTGGGAAAGCTGTTCTTCGATGAAAAAACAAATTTAAAAAACCTATGATGAAAACCTTACTATTGAGTAGGTAAAATCATCACGAAGAGTCTTATAGGAAGGAACAGAGCAAAACCAAGTTTTCCTTCAGACATTAACACATACTGAGGCATTATGTATGTCCACTGACCAGTTTGCTGTGGCAGCAGGTAACTCACTGAGTATAGGGTAGAGGACCATATGTTATTTTTCCTGTGAAAGAACAAAGTTGATCGATGGTAAGCAAAAATAATTGTAGCTGGTCTTTTGTCTAACACAGAGAATGAGCACACTGAAGGTCATTTTGGAGAACATATATGAAGTAATTCCCTTTTTTTTTTTTTTTCTCTCATATCTGAGAGAAATCTCAGATTTTAATGAGTGCAAAAGAAGGAAAACAAGGAAGTTAATTCCTGAGACATAACAGAGTTGACAGAGAGAATATTTGATTTTTTTTTTTTCTCATCAACTAAAAATTTTCATGTAGATGTTCAGTTCAATCATTCTCACTTGTCAAAGAGAGATGCTGTGGCACAAGGAAGACCTGACATACCTCACACCGAATGCCATACTCCTGAGGGCCTTACCACGGTAACAGCTTGCTCTATCCATCCTCCTTATCCCACCACGGTATCTGTTGTGCAGGCAATGTGCAGTGCTGATAAGAGGGCTTTTCCTCAGCTGCTATCACTGCTGCTAGCTCCAAGGTAGCCCTGTTGCTGCGCAGCCTCAAAGGGTGTCCATCTTGTTTCACTTTAGGTGAGCTGTTGTGAGGAGGATGGGAAAAAGGAGGTGAGGAAGCAGAAAGAAAGGCTGATATTCTGCTTAGCAGAAGGCTTTGCAAGCTTGTGTGGCAGTCTGGGCAGCAGACACAGATGCAAGATTGGTAGGAAACTGGCAGGGGATGGTGGAGCACAAGGCACCCCCACCCCCCCTCAGCCACGCGCAGGGCAGCACTGCAATAGATGTGTTTTAAGTGAGCTTCCATCCACCATTCTGTCTGCACTGATGGCCCCAACAGGGTGTCATCATGCCAGTGCTAAACTGAGGTGGTAAGCTGCAGGTACGCCGCTATGCTGAGCAGCCTACACACAAAGCAAGGGGTGTCAGAACTCTTCTGTTTTTTACAGAATGCGTTTCCTGTTATGTCTATGATTTAATACTATGTAAACACTGTAGAAATCTGTTGAAGGAGATGGGATTCAATATTTTTACATCCCCATGCGGGAAGACCTCTATTGGTATAAATTGCTTTGCCACAACTGAAAGCTGAGATCTGGGGGTTTGTTTTTCTTGTCCTGAGTGATTGAGCTACGCCTGAAAAATGTTAAGTATTATGTTCTTATTCCAAAATAAATATTCATGTTTGGATTTAATCAAGAATAGATGAATTACTTCAAAGTCACGGTTACTTATTCAAGTGTAGACAGAACCCCAATGTGGTCTGGGGACTTTGTTTGTGCTTGGTTTTAAAGGGAAATGGCTTCTCTATTTGTTATGTTTGGACTGGTGTTAACTATAGGCCCCCTAAATCATCTAGAGCTGTGTTCATGTCTGAGCACAGTTTTTTCACTCATGTATCCTGGCCTCATACATTTTTATTTTTAGGTGCCAATGTGAGAATATGTGTATATTGCAATCTTCATCTCTTTCTCTAAATTCTGTTCTTAAAGCACACATTGTGCTATTCAACCTTTGCTGAAGGAAACATAACCACACAGCTGCACTTAATCAAATTACATATAAGTTCTACATTTCAGTGTCACTCTAGCTCCACTGGCTGTTCCTGGTTTACAGTCCATAGAGACACACATGACTTCCCAGCACTCCCCCAGGACAGAACCAAAATGGAAATGTTTTGATAATGATCACATTTTTCTCCCTTTCTGTGCTAATTAAAAAAAAAAATCTTAATTAGAAGCATTGTTTTGAATGGCAAATAACAGGAACTATTTCCTATGAATGAGCGGTGCAAATTTGTCCTCTTCCATCCCTTAATATTTTATAGAATCATCTTCAGGATAAACTCTTCAGACTGTCTTCTGGTTATGGGTATGAGATTTGTGGTAAATTCAAGAGTTTACTGTCAAAAGAAGTTTGTTCTCTACATTTTAAGATTGACTTTATGTAATATAGGTGGTCTTACTCACATTGTAAGAAAAGCTACAAATAAGTCCTAGTATTCAGTGCTGGTGGTGCTGCTTTTCATTTTTCTGTCAGTGCCATATTAGGGCAGTTAGGTTTTTGGAAGAGCATTTCTGAAATGCCCTTTGCAACAGCAGAGAAAGTGCCTGAGAAAGTTCCATGAGAAACAGTGAATCATGCATTGTCTTTCTAATTCTGACAGTGTTTTCTTCTGTTTCACAAGCTCATGGACTGCGTTTGCTACGAATGCCTTTCTCACTGGATTATTTCTGTAGCTGCATCCAGTGCCATCTTTAGATCTGGGTCTGATTTACGTTCTGAATGGTTCTGATTTTTAGGACGCTTGTAGCTCCACTGCAATTCATGCACATGTCCTGTTATTCTAATAAATGATATTTAAAATAATAATTACCTTGCAAGTTCAAACACTACCTACTGTGCTGTGTGAAACTGTGGAGACTTTGGTAGCGGATTCTGTTATCAGGAGGAGTATGGTTACAAAACCAGATGCATCTCTCAATGTTCAATTTCTTCCTTTTATCAAAAAATATGAACCCAAGGCCCTGGCAGCCACATCCAAAGTATTTTTACTGTGCTCAATTCTGTGCATCTATATTGGGAAGTAATTCTACGGACACACTAAAATACTGTATTGCTCAAGCAAAAATAATAATGATGAATTTAAAAAAAAAAAAGATGGATTTTAGATATGAGCATTTTTTATCTTTCTGTGTATGAACTTGTTTATGAATGGTGTTCCATTGTACTGTTGAAGTTTCAGAGCTGTGTGCAATAAGCCAAGTTTTGCTGTTTGCATTTATATCTAAATTCTGCAAGGTTGCATTATATAATTTTTAATGGCAGTTAAAAGGTAACTTGTTTTGAACATGAGACATTTTTTGAATACGTTGTTTCCCTTTTCTCAGTCTTCACTTGAATTTTAGTAGTTTAAGGAATGTTTTTTTCCATGCACTGAAAACTAAAAAAAAAAAAAAAAGTTAAGTTTTTAATAAAAAAATAGAAACTATTCTCCAATAATACCAGATTTGTGCTGGAATAGACTAATTCATTTTTTGTCTGTACTGTGGTTCAAGCCCAAAGTAAGCTAGTTCTGCTGCCTAGCTACTGAATGAACAAGCATTATTTGAAATATTTAGTCTTCAATTTATTAACTTTAAGAGGAAAGCTTTTAGGCATAGACCCCTCCCCCCACTCTTTAAAACAAATTTGGAAGATAAATTCAAACTCTGTATGTTTTGATTCTTTAATTTTACTGTGCCTCTGATGGTGATAAAACCATTTAAAAGTTTCTGGAAATACAAGTACTGATAGCATTCTCATATCTGTAGAGGGAGCCACTTGTTAATTCCTCAGTTCAAAGATTGCACTCTTGGTCTCCAAAGAAAAGATAGCATGTTATAAATTACATGCAAACTTAACAAATATTTTCACAGCTTCTCGCTGTTAGCACGTAAGTTCACTGTCTGTCTCATTGCATCATTTTACACCTTTACTGGTATCCTCACTGTCATGTTTTATCTTTCCCCTTTGCTTCCTGGCTCAGGGATGGTACTTTTTTTTTTTTTAAATTTGCTAACAATTCAGCTTTGAGATGAGGGTGAAATTGGTCGTAACATATTTGCCTTTTCTTATGAGGACTCTTAATTCAATTTTGCAATGATAAATTTTCTGTTTGGAAAACTCTGCTATCCAAAAATTAAGGTATCAGCGCATAAGGAAGAAAAAAAAATAAAGTGAGAGGGATTGTGTTAAAAATCAGATGATATCCCAGAGACATGGGATGTAACAGGAGAGGAGCAGAGCCTTCATGCCAGAACCAGGTATGAAGCAAAGCAGAATCCAAAAGCAGCAAGAAAGGGGCTGACCCTTCTGCTGGGACAGTGACACAGGATGAAATGACACTGAAACCATTCTTGAATCTTCACGTGAGGAGCACTACTGCTCCTCGAGTCCAAACGAGCCTCAGTCAGTTGTGTGCCTTGCAAAGGCAGAAGAAAATAATGAATATTTGTAAGGCAAGAGCATGAAGGTCTGGCAATATTTTTGTGGAGGAGGAGGAGATACATGGTTTATAAATACTTCTCTGTGGGAGATCTTTGCAGCAGAGGGCCTTGAATTAAAAAGAGCACATCAGAGTCCTTTGCCAGATCTCCTACTGGCAGAACACCAGGAATATGGATAATGACATTCTTGACATTCTGAAGTGCAGGGACTTTAAAACAGTAATATTTGACAATTCTTGGAAAGAAATTAATGTTTTCTGTTTCAGATAAAGCTACTCAAGTATTCTTTACATTAGAAATGTATAATTTTCTGTATTTTACGTTTTTAGCCAACTTTTTAATTCCCTTGGCACAGATGCAGGGAGGTCTAGCAGCTGTTAGTACCTAACAGAAATTTCCAGAGCTTGGTAACTTAGTTTGAAACACATAATTCAACACTCAATTTCACAATGTTTAAACTTTTTTCCCTTCTGGAGTTGTGCCAGAAACTGACATTTGAGTACACGATTAAGGACATAGCACAGAAAATGAAATGGTTTAAGACAATACTAGTGTGGACATGCAATAAACTTGCAGAATTTATACTGCTTCAGTGTGCACACAAATGATTTTGTTTGAAAATTGTCAATACGTTAATATTGACTAAAAAATCACTTAGGGCTGTAATTCATAAGTGGTACATATTGGGGTGGCTTAAAATGCTGCTGGTGTTAATTTGGGGAGATTCACTTTAGCTACCCTTGCTGCTGCAGGAGTGCTGTGTGCTGGTGCCTCCATCGTCACAGCTGGCGTATTGCCTTTCACTGCTTTAGGTCACGAGTCAGTTCTCTGCTGTCAGTAATGATGTGGAGAAGATACAGAAGGAAGCTGACTATCCTTTGGTTTATAACATCCATTACAGCTAGACTTTACACATGGAAATCAAATCGAGCTTTCTAGTATTGCAGCAACTTTAAGTCTTCAAAATTATGATGGAGTAAAATGCTTCATATATAAACCCATGTGGTGGAATTAGTCTCAGGGCCTTTCATGGACATTATTCTAGTAAGAGGTGAAAGTAGCTGCTGTTTGTGGAGCTGTTTTAGAGAGGAGGTTCAGATTTATTTTAATATATTATTTAATTAAATACAATTAATAAAGCATCTTAAATGAGATTGTGTTGTTCCTGTAAAAAAATTATAGTCCTTTAGTTCTCTTATCACTGATGAGCCCTTGATTGCCTCTTGTTTGTATCATAGTGCACTAACAGTAATACAAAGTGAGAAGGATGTAATAGGAGTCAGCCTTCAATTGGGTGCATCTGTTCATAAGCTGCAGGTGGGAAGAAGCGGTGACTTGCCAGTGGTTATTTGGTGCTGTAGTGGCTGATACTGAAACTGATTTCTTCCCCTCCTAAAGCATATGTGATATCTTCTCATCATTAGAACTGCTATTTAGTTCTAGTGGTTATGGATTAAATACTAGTTTTGTGTGCAGGTTTTCTTTCCCTCCCATAAAATGACAGGTAGACATACATTGCAAGTTTTGTTACGACAGTATCTCCTAATACTGTAAATAAACAGAAACATTCCTGTAAATGTAAACATTTCTTTAAATAGTATGAAGATGAAAATGTCTTTCCACTTTCTTCCTGAGTGAAACAAACACAAAGCCTATTTTCTAGAACTCTGAGGCTATCTTGTGATTAGAGAATGCAGACGTGGGGCAGAAGGTCTGATCAGATATCAGTGTGCAAAGGGTGAGAAATTTGATAAGAGGTACTCAGCAGAAGTCTCTGAAACACTCTGAGTGTACATATGAAGAGAGTTCTAGACCACAAGTAAAAATTTGGCCACATATTTGAAAAGTCAGTGTTTGTATTTCAGAATAAATGTTTTTTGTGAGTTTCAACAACTTAGCTAACTACCATAGACAACACTACAGTCTCACTGTGTCTCTGTACAGCCTGTAATATGGAAGGAGCTGGGCATTAAACCCTACCCAACTGCAAAATACAGAGTTTGCAGGCTTAACATTTTATACTTAGTAACATTTGATCTAGGTTAATATTTCTGCCAACTGTCTATTCTACTAATTGATTAGATACTTTACATATTGTAAATAAGTGCATATTCTCTGTAGTGCACATTTCAGAGGAGAAATTGGGATTTATGTAAACCAATACTAAAATGGAGATTATTGTATTCCAGGCCAGAGGTTAAAAAATTTCCTGTGGACAGACACGAATAGACGTAGAATGTACAGGCAGTATCATTTTGCTTCTGCTTGGATGATGAGGTTCTGATAGGGCACACAGGACGCATGCTAGCTGCTCTTAACAACCTGGAATTCCATGTTAATTTTCTGGAGATTGCATTCCCCCACTTTGCCATTCCGGGACATGAAATTATGTAGTTGAAAAAGTCATGATGAAGTACTTTTATACCAAATTATACAGTTTTGGGACACAATGCAGGTTACTAACAGAAAAGAGCTGTGCCATAACATATACCAAGTATTAGAACTACTATGCATCACAATTTTCAGTATAAAAAAATATTTTTGCCAACATATGAATGCTATTACCTGCCGTGTCTCATGGATAATAATAGAAAAAATATGAGGCAAACCAAACCAAAGAAATTTAAGGCATAATTTATGTATGTGGCTTACATAATAAAACACCCTCTGGTCATACAGAATAGAAAACCAACACAAAACAACTTTAAACAGAAAGTACGCTGACTGAATTTTATCTTTCACAACGTATTGTATTTTTTCTAAATGGCCCACTGACTCACTGTCATCATCTGGTATGGTTTTTAGTTTATGCAGCTATTGGCTTTAAAGCTTCTGGATGTCAATATCAGAACTTATTGTCATGCAGCTCATCAGAAGTAATTTGTAGTCCCTACAATAGCAAAAAAGATAAGGCTGCTATGAACAACAACAAAAAAAAAGCAGGAAAGACTTCACCATCTCTTAACAGAGTCACGAGGAAGAAAATGCTTCATGTGCTGGGTACGACAGGTGGCATTTGTACCTGCATTCACCCTTCAACCACGTTTTCCTCTGAAGCTTTCTGCCAGCATTATATTAAAAACACCTGTGATAGTCCACACCTCTGACTCCTAAAGCTATGCACTGACAATGTAGTTTAACTCACAGGTGAACAGAGTATATATGTGAATGATTAGTAACAGATCCAACCATGTTAGGGTTTTGCTCTGGTGGATGGTTTGTAAGTTCAGAGCCCAGCGTGATGTCAGGGAAACTTTATTCTGAAACTGAGAACCTAAAGAACTAGGAAGCGTGATGTGGAGGTATGTCAAGAGTTTGATGGCTGTTAATCGTGTATGTTTTGGGAGTTTTTTCCCCCTATTTATCAAGTACATTTGATTGTTTTGCTTTTTCAGTGTCTTGTTGTTTTATGGGTCTATTTATTGTTCTGATATAAGCCTGCAATGTGGTATATGTATTATGTATTATGTATTATGTATTATATGTATTATGATGTTTTAATGAATTGGAGAAAGGAGAAGAGAAATGATAAAATCTTGAGATGAAAAAGCATATAATTTATAAGGACAGTTTTTTGATGTGTTATTCTGCTGCATCTATGCAGGTTCATTTTCATGTCGGCTTTAACCAGATTGCTGCATCTTGTATAGCAAGACAGATAACAATATACTAGTAGAAAAAACTATAGATGTTTACAGGTTATTTATATATAAGCTAGCAGGTAGTTAAAATTAAAAACAAAACAATTTTTTACAAATTGTTTTCTCTTTTCTTATTCAGTAGCTATAATACTTATCCAGCTATCATTCATATTTTTTTTTTTCTGTCTTCTCAGAATCGCTTTTTGGCTGCTGTGAAAATAAACAAATATCTCCTGTCAATTCATCTAGTTTAGTGGATGATGCTTCAGGAATTTCAGCTGGTATTTTAAAGCAGATTAACTTTTGTTCTAAATAGTAGTCAGGGACTTCCTAGGGTAACCAGGAGTCTAGAGGATACTAGATAGGAGCTTTACAGAATTCTCAGGAATTTATACATACATAAACACCACTCAAAGTCCCCAATGCTTAAGGACTTTTGGAAAATGTAGCTTTAACACCTCAGCACTTATTGAAAAGCATGTATTTTGCATTCATATGTTATCACCAAAATGTTACTACCTCAGGAAAGGAAAGTCAGATGTGGATTTACAGTGGGAGGTAAATGTACTTTAGGTCACTTGCCATTAGCACCATCTGGAGCAGCATGTCATGTGTCACAAGAAGGCATAGCTGCAGCTATTTGGCTGTGCAGCACTTCTAAGTAAACAGCAGCAGTGCCTCCCCAAATGTGGCTACATGCCATTGCAGGATCCACTGTACTCAGAGAGGAGAAAATTAGGACTGATTTCCTAACAACAAAACAGGGACTTGTTAAAGCTTTCAGCATGTTGTTCTAGTTCTGATTGTTCCTAAAGTTGCTTTCATGAAGAGGAAGGGATCTAAGAAGAGAAGCTGTGGCTGGAGACACAAACCTGTGGTAGCAAGCTGCACAGGAGCAAGCAGACTGGATTTCTAAACATAGTAGGATGCTATGGTGATTTCATTGCAATTGTTAGTGCAGGCCAAGATATTTTTAGAGGGGTCATCATGTGTTTGGTGCTAAATTCTCTTATGTGCTCATTTCTTTAAGAGTCTTCTTAAGAGAAGATATTCAACACCAGAACTACTAATAGTTGTCCTTTGCAAGCATTAAAGGCAGTTGGTTCAGGATCTTGTTGTACAGGCTGACTTAGGTATGTTTTCATAGATGCTCCAGTATACTTCAAAATGTTTGGTTTTGTCCAAATCTGGCTCAGGATGGTGCTTTTCCAAAGGAGAAGGCATGACTTCTAGGGGAAATATTCTATACAAGTGTTCTGGATGCCTCTAGCCTAATAAACTTGTTGATGCTTTGATCTTAGGTTAATGTGAAATCAGAGCTCTATCGGTCTGAAAGATCCTCTTAACAAACTCCCAGTCTTCCTCATGGGCTCTGGTTTTGCTGCGGTGCTCTCCAGGCCCTTAGTTCACCCTCTACCATTGAATTCTTTGGAGTGCAGTTCAATACAGTAGTAAGTATAAATGTTTACTTGAAGCTTCTCTATGCTTTTTATTATTACCTTTCTTAGCAAAAAAAAAGCTGTGGCAGTTTTAAAATATGTAGCTAGCAAGCAAAAGAAGGCTTTCATAAAAGTGAAGTAACAATCATGGTGATTTGGTGTGACTGCAGTGCCATTAATCTGACTATCCTGGCAGTTGGGAGGTAAGCTTCTTACCAGTGTCTGTCTCCTTAGGAATTGTTGTGTGCTTAACCAGTGATAAAGAGATGATAGTCTGTTTAACCATAAGAGCTTCTCTACCAGC